TAACGTCACGTTCCTAATTGAGACTACGCATGCCGATGTTGTTTGGTCCATATGAGTGAATGTCACCTTTTAATACAAATTTAGAATTAGATACAGTAGTGTCAAACAAGGCATATACAGTAGAGCCCAATTATATTCAACTTTATCATATACACTGTCGTGATCGTGCGATGGACAAGTCTTTTCAAGATGGCGGACCAACGTAACACCGGAAGGTAAGCTCTGCTTTCAAACGGTAATATCCATAATTTATATACTCACTGATCATGACACATATTGTATCTGATTCGCAAATGCCATTTGATGCCATTTGAAAACGAAGATGATTATGCACATTATTACTTATTTGTGAAAAAGCAAGAGCAAAGGAGCAAAACCGACCCTAATAAGCTTACATAGTTACATGTATTACAGGCGCGTAGCTGCCTATACGCGAGTACGCAGCTGAATCCACATTATTTTGACCAAAAAAAAATTTTTAGTAAAAAAAATGTGGTTTGAAATTCAGCCGCGTTCGCCAGATCTGATAATTACCACACTGAATACTTTATAAATCACATAGCCTAAATCGTACACCATACCGTAGTATTTTTTTTTTAAAAGTTGTCGGCCTTTGCAGCTCTTCAAAGTCGGAAGTTTGCACGCGCCGTATTTTCGAAATGTAAACAAATGTTTACATCGAGTTCTTAAAGAAGTCATCAGCAGAATCAGCGATAGAAAAGAGGTAATTATAACTAAAATGTTACTATGTATGCCTAGTGTTTATTTGTTTCGGTCTGTTTGTTGAGTAATGACATGTTTGACCATGTCTGTGAACCGATTCTAGCGAGACTGACAACATTTTGAACTAACCAACCTGAATCAGTGAATTCATGATGCAAATGTGAAAAATTCTGGTGCATTTGTCGTATTACTCTGCATTTTTGAAATAGTTCCTTCTTGGTAGATTAGTTATATTGATACATGGAATTTTTATGAAAAAAAACATTTCTGGTAAACACAACGCTCGTCATTTTTTTCATCTACGGAAGCGCATAAAGGTAAAAGTATTCCGATCTCATACATGTACGGAGCCACAATTTATTCTTCCAGGTTCTAATTACGCAAGAAATATGGCACAGAAGAGAATTGACAGCTTCTTCAGCGTAGGTCCAAAAACTGGGCTGTCTGAAAAAGGCACCGATGCAACCGAGCCTAGTACATGTATGTTTACTTTAACATGCTTTTAACATAAAAAGCTACAAACAATAGTCAGTACATGTTAAGTTATACATGTATAGTTAATAATGACAACAATTGTAACTTTTAATTTTGTTTAAACTTTTCAAGATTCAAGGACAGTATGATTTCAAACTTTTACATTACATTCATTGCAATCCATGCTTTAAATATTCGAAATCAAATTGATTCTATAGTCAATTTTATGCACCAAAAATTCTAACACTTGTCCAAGTATCGTCATATGTATTCCATATGTATATTTATAGCGCCCGGTACGTCTGGTGTGAAGGAGGGTCCTGAACCTATGACTTTAGATAAAGATGAGCTCGTGGGGATTGCGTACAGTCCCGATGACTTGTATCCTGATCCAGCAAGGTTAACAAAGGCTTCAGATGACTCGATAAATGTGAAAGTGCTGCAAAACAACAAAGAATGGGCCAAAACTTTTAAGTTTCCGTCAAGGTAAACTGATTCTGATTAATTTGATTTAAAGATGTGAAGTTATAACGGTTGCAGATCAATAGAAAATTGTAGTTTAGTCAACCAGTATTGTATAGAAAAATACCGTTAAAATCTCTAAACACAGTCCCGAGGTCTCAAAATCGATGGTTTATGTTGAGGTCTTTTTGTGAGTGGTACATGTGGGAAAATAGACGCAAGCCCGTCTCTTACCACTCGATTGTAAACGGTCTGCTTCTTCCACTTGTTCGATGTTTGGTTCCATTATAATTATATTAGCGCGCTATGACATGTTTACTATATAATTAAGACGAATAAAGTATAGTGAATATACTCATATATCTGAAAACGTTATTGAAGTACCAGTATCATAAGTATACTAGTAAGATACTAGATATATACTATTAAAATGGAATCATTTGCTTCCCTGCTTCTATGTATTTTCTATGTATTTGGTTTTCTATGTATTTGGTTGCAAAATTGTTCCATTTCAAGTTCGTACACTATTTCTTTATTTTATTATTTCAGTATTGAGTATGGAACGAAGCGTCAGTTCTCGGTAGATTGGCTAGAGAAGTATGACTGGCTTCGATATTCAGTTTCCGAGAATTCAGTGTATTGTGCTCCCTGTATTTTGTTTGGTGCTTCATCTCCAAAGGAGAAAACATTCATCAATACCCCAGTATCAAAATGGTCTAACCTTGGAAAGTACATCAAGAGACATACCGAGCCTGGTTCGAGTCATCATAGCTGCTGCGCTAGTGCTAGTGGTTTTATGAAAATCATCGAAGGGAAACAAGCAAGCATTACAGCACAACTGTCGAGAAACAAAGTCGAAACTGTTGCTAAAAATAGACAGGTGCTTAGATCTGTTATAGAGGTCATCATTCTGTGCTGTCGACAAAATATTCCACTTAGAGGTCATGATGACAACAATAGTAACTTTACTGTCCTGTTGAAAGACAAGGCCAACAGGGATGAAATCCTGAAAACACACCTGTCCTCTAAATCTAAGGTTACTTACACTTCGCCTATGATCCAAAACGAATTAATCACTTTGTTGGGAAATAACATAAAAGGCAAGATAGTTCAGCAGTGCAACGATGCTATTTGTTATTCATTTCTTGCAGATGAAGCTACTGACGCGAGCACTATGGAACAAATTGCTATGTGTGTAAGATATTATTCTGAAACTGAACAGGACGTGCGTGAAGACTTTGTGGGCTTTGTGCAAGCAGAATCTACAACAGGAGAGGCTCTTTTTAACAAGTTTATTGAGCGGCAGCGGGACGCAGGATTAGACATCTCCAAGATGAGGGGACAAGGGTATGATGGGGCCAGTAATATGTCTGGTTGTCATCGAGGTGTGCAAGCTCGGGTCCAGCAAGTAGTTCCCCAAGCAATGTATGTGCACTGCAAAGCCCATAGCCTTAATTTGTCAATTGTGCATGCCTGTAAAGAGGCACTCGTCAGAAACTTGTTGGACACAGTACAACAAATCGGATTTGCTTTCAAGTACTCTGCCAAACGTCTTTTAGCTTTCAAAGAGGAGCTTGGCAACGATCCCGTGGCACAGGAAGAGATGCAGAAGAGAACACGTCTTCAAAGTCTGTGTGAGACGCGATGGGCTAGTCTGGCTGACGCACTTTACACTTTCAAAGCTGCATACACATCAATTGTAAGTGCACTGGAGGTGCTAGAACGAGAGGGAGACTCAAAAGCACGGAGCTACAGATGCAGTATCCTTGGGTTCGACTTCATCATCTCTCTAGTTGTGGTTGAATTCGTCCTCCAGGGTGTTATGCCTCTAAACAAGCTGCTACAGAAGCAGAATATCGACTTGATCGAAGCAGCCAAGGAGAGTCGAGTTCTTATAGCCATATTTCGTGCAGAGAGAGCCGATGATGCTGTGTGGGATGGGCTTTACGACAAAGCAGTTGCCATGGCAGAAGACCAAGGAGTCGAGCCTTCAAAGCCTAGAACAGCTCGACGCCAACAGCACCGTGGCAATGTGCCTGCCGACTCTGTTTCGGAATACTGGAAAAGAGCATTGTTCTATCCATTTCTTGATCATCTAGTTGTGGAACTAGAAGACCGTCTTGTATCCAGCAATGAGAGGTTTAAGGCTCAATATCTCATCCCAAGCCTTCTTCCTGAGCTCAGCCGAGATCACGAGGATTCCATCTTCCAGGAGTATGAGAGTGACCTCAGTGGGGATCGGGAAGCCTTCCGAAATGAGGTTTCTCGATGGAAAGTAAGATGGGAGCTGGAGGGGACAAAACCCTCAAATCTTACTGACACATTGAAGGCTACGAACAAGACTCTGTATCCAGACATCTTCACCTGTCTAGTTGTACTAATTACGATGCCAGTGTCTACCGCTACCGCCGAGAGGCAGTTTAGTATCATGAGACGCCTAAAAACTACATGAGATCAACGATGCTCACAGAACGGATGTCTGGACTAGCCCTGTTGCACGCCTACAGACACATGGAAATAGATATTGATATTATCATTAACGAGTTTGCGGCCAGCAAAGGCCGCAAGTTAGACTTGCTGTGAAATGTAGACTAGTTGAAATAAACGAAAGTAAAGCTATTATCTCCATTTTTATGCTAAAATAAATGGATTTTCGTTGGTCAAGAAAGCTCTCCGGAGGCCCCAAAACGCACCAAATTGCACCATTTCTTTCAAAATTTTCAAGGGGGGGGGGGGGGGGGGGGGGGGGCATGCCCCCTGACCCCCCTAGATTATTTTGAATCCATTCTTTATAGGCTAGCTACGCGCCTGTATTAAATGGGTTTTATAAGGTCTATGTATTTTCTTTTCTAACCAATGCTGAGAATATTGATTATTGTGAATGTTTACTGTGAAAATAAATCTACGCTTATCCTCTTACTGGAGTAACAAAAGAAAATATTTCAGATCAGAATCAAGTACGTGGATAATTACACAAGGATCTACCCATACAATTAACAGCTGAATTCAACTGAAGAATCTTCCAATAGTTTTGAGGGAAAAGGCACACATTTTTAGAATCAAAACTAAATTCACAGGTACTCCTTAGTTTGCATCTTTTGAAATACAGCTTTAAAGAGATTTTTTATCGTAAGAGATTTTTTATCGTAAGAGATTTTTTATCATATTAATTTTTGTGTTCTGTTAAAATTTTGGTTTTGGTATCAAATGATGTCTATACAAATGTACAAGGAGAGTGATTTATTGCCAAATACTTTGCACTTGGCAATTTTGTTGTTTACAAGTTATTGAATCTTACATACTTTAATACCAATTTAATAACAAAGAATGAACAAGGCGTGTAATTTTACAAGTTAATCTTCAATTTATCAACCAATTCTGGACACAATATATAAATATATCAACAATTTTACACAATGTATACATACTACCTTTTTGCTTTCAATTATTTCAACAGGAAACACAAACAACACTCTCCTTCCATAAACTGACATTAAAGCCTCAATATGGCTACACATTGACATGCATGTATATCTGAAACTTTATATTTTAAGACAAGACGGGAAATGATTTTATTGTAATTCTGTTGGGATTTTATGTACCTAATAAGAAGTATTTTCACTTTTCAAAGATTTTCTAGGACATATGTTATATGATGTAGTTGTAATGCTGATTGCACTACATCAGTTAAGTATAATGAATGAATGTCTGACAGGCTTTCTCCCAATCAGACAGGCTTTCTCCCGATCAGTTCCTGTGAACACTGTGTTGTTAATTAACTCTCACATTAATCAGCTAAGATACTCCAGGCTGGCCTTGGCCTTCTCCATCTCATGGAGGAATGAGTAAAACTGAGGTAATGTCAGCTCTGAAACAGACATACATGGTGATTACTATAAAGATTGTTTCCTTTTAAATTGTGGGGAAGTAATTTTCCTGGATAGAATTATGGCGTGAAATAAAATGCAGAGAATTGATCCAATATATAAAAACTACTGTGATTTCTATGAGTAATATATTCTTTTTGTTTTAATATACATGTGTAACTTTGGTGTTGGGAAAACTGACCTGATATATACATGTGTAAAGAGACTTAGATATATACATGTGTAACCTTGTTTTGGGACTGACCTGATATATACATGTGTAACATATATGTGTTGTTGTAACCATTGCCTGTATTTATCACCATATATACAACAAATGTGTAACTCATGTTCTCATTAATTTCCATTTATGATATATACATGTGTAACTTTGGCTGTGTTGAAAGTAGGACTGACCTGATATATACATGTGTAACTTTGTTGTTGGGACTGACCAGATATATACATGTGTAACTTGGTTGTTGGGACTGACCAGATATATACATGTGTAACTTTGGTGTTGGGACTGACCTGATATATACATGTGTAACTTTGGTGTTGGGACTGACCTGATATATACATGTGTAACTTTGTTGTTGGGACTGACCAGATATATACATGTGTAACTTGGTTGTTGGGACTGACCAGATATATACATGTGTAACTTTGGTGTTGGGACTGACCTGATATATACATGTGTAACTTTGTTGTTGGGACTGACCTGATATATACATGTGTAACTTTGTTGTTGGGACTGACCTGATATATACATGTGTAACTTTGGTGTTGGGACTGACCTGATATATACATGTGTAACTTTGTTGTTGGGACTGACCTGATATAAATACAAGTGTAACTTTGGTGTTGGGACTGACCTGATATATACATGTGTAACTTTGGTATTGGGACTGACCTGATATATACATGTGTAACTTTGTTGTTGGGACTGACCAGATATATACATGTGTAACTTGGTTGTTGGGACTGACCTGATATATACATGTGTAACTTTGTAACTTTGTTGGGACTGACCTGATATATACATGTGTAACTTTGTTGTTGGGACTAACCAGATATATACATGTGTAACTTTGTTGTTGGGACTGACCTGATATATACATGTGTAACTTTGTTGTTGGGACTGACCTGATATATACATGTGTAACTTGGTTGTTGGAACTGACCTGATATATACATGTGTAACTTTGGTGTTGGGACTGACCTGATATATACATGTGTAACTTTGGTGTTGGGACTGACCTGATATATACATGTGTAACTTGGTTGTTGGAACTGACCTGATATATACATGTGTAACTTTGGTGTTGGGACTGACCTGATATATACATGTGTAACTTTGTTGTTGTTGACCTGATATATACATGTGTAACTTTGGTGTTGGGACTGACCTGATATATACATGTGTAACTTTGTTGTTGGGACTGACCTGATATAAATACAAGTGTAACTTTGGTGTTGGGACTGACCTGATATATACATGTGTAACTTTGGTGTTGGGACTGACCTGATATATACATGTGTAACTTTGTTGTTGGGACTGACCTGATATATACATGTGTAACTTTGGTGTTGGGACTGACCTGATATATACATGTGTAACTTGGTTGTTGGAACTGACCTGATATATACATGTGTAACTTTGGTGTTGGGACTGACCTGATATATACATGTGTAACTTTGTTGTTGGGACTGACCTGATATATACATGTGTAACTTTGTTGTTGGAACTGACCTGATATAAACATGTGTAACTTTGTTGTTGGGACTGAACTGATACATACATGTGTAACTTTAATATTGGGACTGACTGATATATACATGTGTAACTTTGTTATAGGAACTGACCTGATATATACATGTGTAACTTTGGTGTTGGGACTGACCTGATATATACATGTGTAACTTGGTTGTTGGAACTGACCTGATATATACATGTGTAACTTGGTTGTTGGAACTGACCTGATATATACATGTGTAACTTGGTTGTTGGAACTGACCTGATATATACATGTGTAACTTTGTTGTTGGAACTGACCTGATATAAACATGTGTAACTTTGTTGTTGGGACTAACCAGATATATACATGTGTAACTTTGGTATAGGACTGACCTGATATATACATGTGTAACTTTGTTGTTGGAACTGACCTGATATAAACATGTGTAACTTTGTTGTTGGGACCTGATATAAACATGTGTAACTTTGTTGTTGGGACTGACCTGACTGACCTGATATATACATGTGTAACTTTGTTGTTGGAACTGACCTGATATAAACATGTGTAACTTTGTTGTTGGGACTGACCTGATATATACATGTGTAACTTTTTGTTGTTGATATATACATGTGTAACTGACCTGATATATATACATGTGTACTGACCTGATATATACAGGTTGTTGGGACTAACCTGATATATACATGTGTAACTTTGGTGTTGGGACTGACCTCATATATACATGTGTAAATTTGTTGTTGGGACTGACCTGATATAAATACAAGTGTAACTTTGGTGTTGGGACTGACCTGATATATACATGTGTAACTTTGTGTTACATGACCAAAATCAATATACATGTGTAACTTGTTTATTTCATACTGACTTTTCAAATGATATATACATGTTAAGATAGATGTTGTATAACTGTATACACAGTACAGCTATACTTACAACTGTCAAATGTAGTTTTGTATAACCAGGTGACATCACATACATACTCACCTCCAAACTTCCACTCCATGTCCAGTAACTGATTGACCATTAGGGTCTGACCAAGGGCACTGCGAGAGAGTGCAGCCAGGTTAGCCTTCCACTGTAACAACATAAATTGATCATGAGGGAGATGCCTGTGATTGGCTTAAATGTTTAAACAATACACTTGTCTCAATCACTCCATCCATAACAAGAGGCACAAAGCCTTTTCACACTCCCCTCACTTCTGTAATACTGTTGTTTTTGATATTGTATCATGCCATAGAAACCGTGTTATTGACAAAATATGATAACTTCAACTACATTGGACATGTAAGGCAAATGTAAAACCCTTTCCCATAGGCCCCAGGGAATTGGGACCATACATGTATAATTCCCAGGTCAACTTACACCATGGAAAGATTCAGCAAAATTTCATTGAAAGTATTTGAGTTATTTTTTCAGAAGAAGCTGACAAAAGACAATGGCAATAGGTCACTTAAGCTATGTCAAATAAGATATTCTTACCTGATCAGAGAAGTAATTAGCTTTTTCTGTAGACAATCCTGAAGTAGGAACCAACAACAAATGTTATGTACTTACTACAGGCTACAAATAGACAACAACTGTACCAATCTTAATAACATCAATTTTTGTTTCGCTTTTGACTTTTTATCCAGAAGTTTCGAAATGATTCCATCAGATTGACCAAAGTAACAGGGAACAAGCAAATTAATAGGTAAAGAAAGAGAGATTTCTGGGTCAACCACCGGGAAAGTAATGCATATTGCGTACATAATAGGGCATTGTTGTGTTGTTAATCATTTTTTATCAATCATTTAAAATAGATCCCAATGGCTGAATTTACTGCTTGTGTACCAAGACAACCTGTCTGTTCATGATTGATTAAGATTAGCTGTTCTGGCACTAACAAATGTTTCAAGAGAACTCCGGATATAAAAGAATGATGAAATAGATAATTGAAAGTTCACAGTCTTCAAACTCTATTTTCTGACAACATTAAACATATACAAATGGTCATAACTGTGCTGAAATCATGAAACACATGTTTCAGATTGTCACACATAATTTTGTATGTACCTAGATTGACAAGATCTTCCTGTAGCTGACTAGGGCTTAGACTCTTCTTCAGGGCACCTGTCAAATGAAAATTAATTCAAATTGTATTTTTTCAAATACTTACAAATCAACATGAGATCCCAGAAGGATCTTGACGTCCACCATTGTTTGTTTTTTATTTGTTCTTAAATAGTTTTATCTTTTCCCTTCCTTTCTCTCCTTCCTCTCATACAAAATCTATATATTTCTCTGAAGAAATAGCAATAATATTCTTTAACTGCCAAATCGAGGATGGTCGCCTGTCAGCTGTTTTGTTTTTTTTATCTTTCCCTAAATCAAACTAAGGACAAAGAAGAACCTACAGATGAAATCTTAAATAGTTGCATCTAGTACTTTTACGAAATGGATATAACAATCTTTTTTCACAAAAATTGAAAATTGTCGTCTGTCAATTTTTTTTATTTTTTAAAACAGTCTCATAATTATGCACTCACAACTAGTGAAGAAGGGGAACCTACATATGAAATTTGAGATAGATCCATCAAGTTCTTCTCAAGAAATGGAGATCAAAATCTGTTAAAATCAAAGATGGCTGTTTGTCGGTAAATTTTTGTTTATCTGATCTGACCCAAAATCAAATGGGCACAAATATGGAACAAAGGGAAACCTATGTATGAAATTTAGGAAAGATCCACCCAGTACTTCTCATGAAATAGCGATAACAAAGTTTCATTGTAAATCCAAGATGGACACCTGTCGTCCATTTTGTTTTTTCTGATCAGTCCCAAAATCAGGCAGACATAACTAGGAGGGGAACCTGCATATGAAATTTGAGAGAGATCCATCCAGTACTTCTTAAAAAATAGCAATAACAACAAGAGACCCATAGGGCCTGTATTGCTCACATAGATTTGGCTGAAATTGCTTCATCGAAACTAAAGGAACACAAACTCTAAATATCCCAGCACACAACAACAAAACATATCTATTTTCCTAATGAACCACAACCCCAAGTCCTTATGGGGTCAGCCAAACTATTCACACTTCAGACCAAATCCTTCCCACAGGAAAAATAGGGTTTAAAATAATTTGTCCTATTTATGACATCAGGCCCTGCCCCTCCCAACCCTGGGGCTGAGACATACCGTTTATACAAAATTATTTCCCTTTCCCCACACAATGCTTCAGGCTAAATTTGGGCCATATCCAATCATTTCTACAGAAGGAGTAGGATTTTAAAGAATTTGCCCTATTTCCACTATTGGCCTATTCCATTTGGCCCTGCAGGCCAGGTGAGCTAAAAATTGTTTATGGACAGAGAACAGATAGATAGAACATTGACATTGGGCAATTTGATTAGCCCACCATCTCATGGTGGCCTACATACATATGTTGCACAATTCTCTGTTAGGCACTATCTTGCTTTCATTTTACAGGTATGATATTTATATACTTACTGTTGGGTACCAGAAGTAGACTTTTAAAGACATTCTTCAGTGCGGAGGCCCCAACTCCATTGCTCTCAGCAAATTCACCCAACTGTTCCATCAATTTTTGTGACTGCATGTCAAATAAGTTTAAGTTCATTATGAACATCATAAACAATTGCTGTAATGACTTATATGTGGTTGTAGTTACTTATATCAGTATCCAAAATAAAGACACAGTGCTAATGAAAAGTGTAGATCATAATTATAATGCATTAAAGTTTTTAAAACAAAATCTTGAGCATACACATATTTATATTAAACTTTATCAAGAATAAAACATCTGAATTCTGCAGGATTGAGTTTTCCATTCAAGTCTTATGAACAAATGTTAGATGTTTATTTCAGAAAATCATGCATGTCTTCAGATTTGAGAAACATATCAATGACTATTCAACAAATACTGCATGACTGAGTTTCCATACTACTGTTTCAGTGTGATTTGAATTTCACTGTTATAGTAACTAATGTTTAAGAAGACTTTTAAATTACCTTTCCTGGATCAGCAAGAAACTCTAGAGAGTATTCCACAAGTTGACAGAATTGCTAAAAAAAAATAAGAAATTATATCCTCATTAGAATCCATGCAAATTCAAAACAACACGAAAATGATTTAAATCACCGTTTTATATACAGTATATTTTTATAAGGATTATACAAGAAGACACATGATATATTGTCAATATAAGGATTATACAAGAAGACACATGATATATTGTCAATATAAGGATTATACAAGAAGACACGTGATATATTGTCAATATAAGGATTATACAAGAAGACACGTGATATATTGTCAATATAAGGATTATACAAGAAGACACGTGATATATTGTCAATATAAGGATTATACAAGAAGACACATGATATATTGTCAATATAAGAATAAGATTTCCTAAATCTCAGTCCAAGACTAATTATAATCATATGTAACACAACCCATAGGGTTTTTATGGAGGCTTTTGTGGAATAACAACGCAAAATACACATTCCAGCCATCAGCTGAATGACAAAGCCTATCTAACATTATATGGACATGTACAAGCCACAATGATCAGCTCCTTTTAATTTACTTTTACTTGTTCTTCCATGAGATTTCCTAAAGCTCATTCTGATACTCTAATTGTACCAAAAAACATGTGATTTCGTTGAAGGCCAATATGTAAGAACTGTGTGAAATGCAGTGCTCTAACAGGAACAGGGATCGAACCCTTGTCTCTCTACTAATGCAACTGATCCGAAGAAGCATGCTTCCATCAGAATAGTGACAGACGCTGTATATAACCAGAGTCGTGATATATACGTCTCTGATATAACACTATGAACAACCCTATGCCATACCGACTCGCTCCTTTAATACATATGATTACAAACGTATTGCCGTATATCACTTAAATAAAATGTACATCGTGAGATCTGGTATTATGTATATATACCCATACAGATACACTATCATGATCACATGCCGCCCCTTTTCTTCGTTCATGCATTGTATCAGTAATCATGTGTTAGACCCTCTGTTTACATGTTAAACATTATGTAGATATCACGTGAAACCATCGTACCTCATCCTGAAATTTGTTAACCATCTGTATATCACTGAAAACTGTATCTGGGGGTGTTTCCTTGCTGAAGTGAAAGGTGGACGCCATGTTGTCTTGTGACGTCAGAACAGGAAAGCCCCTAATTTATTTTTAGATTAGATCACATGTAAGCAGTAGCCTTGCAGAAGTCAGAGATCAATTTCATAGAGTAATATTTCAATTTCTACTCAAATTGAGCTTGAAGAAACTACCAGATTTAGCCTGTTTCATCTGTCCATGAATTCCACCACATTAACATTATCCGTATGAATAAATCCTTTACAGATTATGTAACCCAAAACCTAACCCCAAGAGAGAACCCTTACTCACGTTTGGGGCTTAACTATTTCAATGTAATCAAATTTGCTCTTGATTTTCAGAATGTACATTGATAAAGATAAATAATATAAATGATAACTATTTAATCAAAATATGACATTAAGGTCAAATTCAGCAGAACAGATTTGTTGTTTGATATATGCATGAGACCTTACAAATGATGACGTCTGCTACATGTACAAGGTACGAGGGAGTATTCGTTTCAATATATTATGTATATCCGAGTATAAGAGTTTCTCGCCCTAAAAGCGGCTCTTTTCAGAGCCAAACACATTTCTCAAGAAGTGAAGTGTCTATATTTCTCGAATACACACAAACCATTGTGTGTTGCAGTAATTTAGATATAAATAATTACGTAAATGTATCGATTTAATTTGAAGGAAACAGATTCGATGTTCAGCAGCAATACAAAGGATTTTTTTTTCAATTTTGTTGTTTAAAAAAAATTCATTTGCCAAAATGAATTCCTCATGGTAAATTAATCAATCAATTTTGATACAATATTTGTATAGTGTCCTTCGAATTCCTTTGTTTCAAATTATACATACAGTCATCTAATTTGCAAGGTTGATTTAAAACACATCATATATTGTCAAATAGAAATGATATTTTTCTCGCCCCTGCGTTGTCATGTTTCGACATTCAGGATATCGTGATGTATTCCCCACCCCCGCTTTGACACTCATCCATGGGCATGTCAATACACTTGTTAATGACCGTTTAAATTGCGGTATTGTTCTGAAAACATTTTACCTTGGCTAGAAAGGTTACGTCCCTTGCACTGTGTGCAGATGTATTATGTACATGTATACCCCGTATGATATGAAATTGAAACCCTTCCACTAAAATAGCATTGTGTATTTAGGTCAAGTTTTGCATCAATTAAATGGTGTACAAAGTGTATGCATGTGTGTATTGTACATGTACAGAAAGGTGTCTAATTTATCCTTATACCAATTATACCTATTGTATTTGTGCTAGCAAATAACAGTAAAAATAACATTCTCGTCATCACAAGTAACTAATTAAGTATGTGTAATGAAAGCGTACGCCCGGTGGACAGGTCACTTCCAACGCACAGACTATATGAGACAGCACATCTCGGCCATTTCTATCCAGTAATCAATGACATCGTATCGATGTGTAGAAATAGGTGCTAAAATAAACTCAACTAGGGTACTAACTTTGATCTGTATCAAAATGTTTATATTATACATATTTCATAAGAAAAGGTTAGTCCATGTAAAGTGATAATGATCTGTTTTCATTAAATAACGTACAATAAAAAACAGTGAAACAATATAAAAAAAAAATAACAGTTTAGGTCATATTCTTGCCATGTGTAAGAATACTTTGCTAGGGCACCAACTTTGATCAATACTCTAATATCTATATTGTGATACCTTTATTAGAAAGTTTAGCTACTGAAAACATGAGAAATATTTTGTTTTCATTAAGTACAGCAGAAGAAAAATCTTGAAACTGGAAAGAAAATGTTGTTATCAATATAAGGTATTGTTGTTGCTATGCGACACATTCTGTTGCTAGGGAAATTATTGTCACTTCCCAAATGTTTGCATTATAATACCTTTGTAAAAAAAGTTAGTCCATATAATTATGTCACATATGCTATGATTTGTTTTCATTTCACAAGTTCGGACGATAGAAAATGTTGTTACCAGTAATAAATCTTATAGCCATGCCGTTGGTATGTGATATAATTCGTTGCTAAGGTACCAAATGTAAATATATTAAAAGTTTAATTTAAGCCTTTGCTAGCAAAAGCCATTAGTTGATAACTTCCATAAGTGATTTAATTACATCAATATTAAGCAGCATATTTGTATGATAATTAAAAGTTACAGAATCTTTTTGTAATGCTTTGTGTCATTTTTCTCTTAAAAAATACTGGTGTGACACCTATATTTGAAGTGCCGCTACGCATGCGCCGAGAAAGAAAACATGCTAAAATCGCCCAATTCATTAATTACGTTACTATCCTTACTCAATATAGGTATTTCATCAAATTTGAAGAGGGGGCCAAATTTGACCCAAATCATACATACTCTTTTATACATTGATGTGTCATTTTTGATTTTTGAACCCTATTTAAGAAAGTAATTATTAGCTTTGGTATATGAGCAGAATCAAGTTTGCCATGGATACATACCCCATCTATACATTTCTTCCAAAGACGACCTACTGGCCAAGCATGTCTTTTAATGATAAAGATACAGACCGTCCCCGTTTGTGTTGGATTCCTAAGCTTCCCAAGAACCCATACCCACTGTTAAAACAACTTACCTCCATTCTTAGTACTATCAAACATGTGTTACAGTCTTATTTTGATAATATTTACTCAAGAAGCGGAATTAGTAGTGTGTGGATTTCAAAGAGTTTTTTTTTATCTATATTCGTCGAGTAGCGTGGTTAGGTATTCCAATAGGCTATTGGCACACCTATGGGAACTTCCTGTGTCCCTCTAATGGCTGACTTGTTTTAATTTTCATATGAGGCTGAATTTATTGAAGAGCTTTAAAATGTCGTTTAATTTTTATATTTAGATATATTGTTGGCGTCTATAAGTACACTTATACGAAAGTTATTAAACACGTCCATCGTATATACCCATCAGCTGGAAATCAAAAGACACGACAGACTCTTCTACATTAGCCGCTTATCTCGATCTTTTTCTGAAACGAAACAAAGATGGACATTTTCCCACCAAGCTGTACGATAAACGTGATGGTTTCAATTTCCCTTTTATGAATTTTCCGTATCTGGATGTCAACCCCTGCTATCCCCAGCCTATAGTGTTTACATGTCGCAGCTGATTCGTGAAGTCGTCAACTGACGGACATGCTCGCAACACAGGGTTCCAAATGATGCAGGTTGATGAAAATTACGGGGAACTTTTACGGTCGTCATCGCGAACCATTGAGAAATATTCTATTTTATTGTGCGATATGAAGCTGGATGTGTTTGATGCTCGTTAGTTTGTCGGTTGGTTCCGTTGTACGATATGAAGCTGGACGTGTTTTATGCTCGCTAGTTTGCCCGTTGGTTCCGTTGTACGATATGAAGCTGGATGTGTTTGATGCTCGCTAGTTTGTCGGTTGGTTCCGTTGTACGATATGAAGCTGTACGTGTTTGAAGCTCGTTAGTGTACCTGATGGTTCCGTTGTACGATATGAAGCTGGACGTGTTTGATGCTCGTTAGGTTGTCCGTTGGTTCCGTTGTACGATATGAAGCTGGACGTGTTTGATGCTCGTTAGTGTACCTGATGTTTCCGTTGTACGATATGAAGCTGGACGTGTTTGATGCTCGTTAGGTTGTCCGTTGGTTCCGTTGTACGATATGAAGCTGGACGTGTTTGATGCTCGTTAGGTTGTCCGTTGGTTCCGTTGTACGATATGAAGCTGGACGTGTTTGATGCTCGATGCTCGTTAGTTTGCCCGTTGGTTCCGTTGTACGATATGAAGCTGGGCGTGTTTGATGCTCGCTAATTTGTCCGTTGGTTCCGTTGTACGATATGAAGCTGGACGTGTTTGATGCTCGCTAGTTTGTCCATTGGTTCCGTTGTACGATATGAAGCTGGACGTGTTTGGTGCTCGCTAGTTTGTCCGTTGGTTCCGTTGTACGATATGAAGCTGGACGTGTTTGATGCTCGCTAGTTTGTCCATTGGTTCCGTTGTACGATATGAAGCTGGACGTGTTTGAAGCTCGTTAGTGTACCTGATGGTTCCGTTGTACGATATGAAGCTGGACGTGTTTGATGCTCGTTAGGTTGTCCGTTGGTTCCGTTGTACGATATGAAGCTGGACGTGTTTGATACTCGTTAGTTTGCCCGTTGGTTCCGTTGTACGATATGAAGCTGGGCGTGTTTGATGCTCGTTAGTTTGCCCGTTGGTTCCGTTGTACGATATGAAGCTGGATGTGTTTGATGCTCGTTAGTTTGCCCGTTGGTTCCGTTGTACGATATGAAGCTGGGCGTGTTTGATGCTCGCTAGTTTGCCCGTTGGTTCCGTTGTACGATATGAAGCTGGACGTGTTTGATGCTCGTTAGTTTGCCCGTTGGTTCCGTTGTACGATATGAAGCTGGACGTGTTTGATGCTCGCTAGTTTGTCCGTTGGTTCCGTTGTACGATATGAAGCTGGACGTGTTTGATGCTCGTTAGTTTGCCCGTTGGTTCCGTTGTACGATATGAAGCTGGACGTGTTTGATGCTCGCTAGTTTCGTTGTTTTATATCTTTTTATCATTTGAGAACGTGATTTACATGGCGAGTGTAGTCGATGAAGCTGAATACGCCTACATATACGTCTGGTACTTTTTCAGGAGTCTCCAAATAAATCTTTCTTTTGTTCATATTTTGCTAGAGTTTATTGACTGTGAGTTTGGATTATGATGACATGCTGTTTTTAACAGGAAGCTATTTTAGTTTCATGCTGGTGTGGTGTGAAGGAAACACTTTTTTTTGCAAACTTATCAAGAATGCTCTAGGAGCATTCATTCAGTTTGTAAAAAGGTTTTTCTTTCAAACAAGCATTAAACTATAGACTATACAACTATAAGTCTGTCATAACTATAGGAAAATAAGTTTTCTCTTATTTTTCAGAAATAAAGGTAAAATGATTCATAGAATCTTATATTAGTGTGTATGCAATATAGGATTTATCAAACTCGTCAGATAATTTGAAATGAAAAACCCGAAAGCTGATGTAATAACA